CAACTGTCTCGACGTTGCTACATGTTATGTCAACAAATAAAAATCATGTAAAGAATGTTTTTTGTTTTTCATACATCCTTCATGTAAAAATATATATTATATGGGTAATTGAATAAGATAAAAAAAAGTGGACAAAAGAACTTATGGAAATATGGAGGTGGGAAATGAAGGTGTGTGAGTACAATGGGTCAGACAGCCAGCAAGTGCACCATGCGGCAGACCCATCTGGATGATACATCATTGCGCAAGACCTTTAAATTGATTTAAGATTTATTTTCACTATTTTTCCCTTTTTTGTAGGTGATTTGGGACCTATCTAGAGTGGTTTTGAAACTTGAATTTTTTGTGACCAGGGGGCGAGCATGAGGGGTCTGGTACTGCAACCAGTGAAGAGTTAATAATACAAATATGATCGATCACTTGGCGATGGCTTTTTGAAGTCCCTAACCCCATCGTATAATGGCCATTGCATGTAAATCAAAATAAAGAAAAAAATAGATAGACAAGTGATAATACTGTATTCACTGACTTCACAAAAGTAAATGGTTAATAAGAAATAGGTGGTGGCAAATGTCAAAATAGACAATACAGAGGATAAAACTTGATGGTTATAGTGAAGAGCTTTCCTGGAGAGGGGCTGAAGAACCAGAACAAGACAACACATTTTGTTATATTCCAATGGGAATAAGCAACAGAGGTGTATAGTAAGACTGGAAAACAATGAAATTCTGGTGATAGTGGGGATTAAGGATGCTATTGCATGTAGGTATCAATGCCCTTGATGATCAAGGAAAATAACATTAGGTTGCGTAACTCGGGAGGGAGAAGTTAGGGAGATTTTACAATTAAATTATGCAATGTTCATTCTTACTGTGAACTGAGGAAGGGAAGCAAAAATATGTGAATGACGAAACTTATGATAGCCTAAGATTATTGCAGTTAAGAAGTAGGAATATTTAACCTACCTCGATGCTTTACAATAACACATGAATGAATATACAGTAATAAAAGCTGATGGTGCAAAGTGTAAAAACCTATTTCATGGCCTAAGATATTAAGGAAAATGAACAATAAGAGAAATAAGGATATTAACGGGTGAATCAAAGCATAAAGGAAATGGATGAAAAAGTGAAGGAAGCATTAAACGAGTGTGGGTTAAGGAAAAGAATCTGCAAGGAAATATTAAAAAAAAAAAAAGATTTCTGCTTAAGAAATTTCTGTTCTACAAATTTAAAGCCAAAAGCAGATAGTAAATTTGGTCAGGTATAAATCTTGCTGAACTTAAAACTACCCTCCTACACCTCCCCTGAAAAATTCAGGTGACAGACAGCTGATCATTGAAGGAAAATTTAAAGGGTTCTAAAGAAACACAAAATAGGTAGGAGCCAGCGATCTCTATTTAAAATAAAAAAAAATAAAATAAATAATGGGAGGTCAAACTTTACAGTCTCCACTATAAGATTCTTAATGCCATAGGGAGATAGAGGATATATATCCAAGCATAAGAAAACCAATATTGGATCTCTCAAAACTCTTGCAAAACATATAACATCATATTTATGCTGGCAGTGCTGTCCTGGATTTTCCAAAAAATACTATAATGCGATATGTTATGATGGCTCTCCTTTTGGTATTACACCAACATATAATGTTCATAAATGCACAAAAAGGTGTTCAGCGTGTGGCAGTTATAACCAAATATTTTTTATATGTTTTTGTTATTTTAATTTTACAGGTATAAATGCAGCAACAAGATCACAATTTGAAGAAAAAATGGAGAGTAAATATTAACTGTTCTACAATACCAGCTGTGTGATGCTACATGCATGCTGAAGACCTTAGCATTAAGAATATTTCCTTTTTTTTTCTAGCATACATCAAATATTTACTAATAATAATTCATATGCCTTCTATATTTTCAGAAAAAAGAGTACCGGTAGTGGTAACTCGCTGCAAGTGGTGGGTAGTAGGATCTGCAGACAAACACTAACATGGAATGTTAAGATGATTGCTATGATGAGACTTTCACCAAGCTGATGTTTGAAATAACTGATCGTATATTAAGGGAATGACCAAATTTCTATATTACTCGGCTGCGTAACAGATTCCAAGAAATCCTTCAAGAGAACGAGAATTCATACAAAACTGATAGGCTTCGTAAGTGACTGGCTGATCACTGTGGGAGTGAGATTCAGAAAGTGCCTCAAAGAGGAAGGGCAAGCTTGGTTGCTCATCCAAGATAACCATGTTGGAAATACGTTCACTTGCAGCTCAAGCTGACTGCAGCAAAAGTTGGACAAATCAAAATTGGAAACAGAATCTGATGACAGTGAAAATGAACATAACCCAGTCCCAAGGTCAGAAACAGATACATTTTGTTTGGCAAAACATCAAATATGTCAGTAATGGGGAAAAAACGAAAGTACAACTGAATGCAATAACTAAGCCTACATATAAGAACCAAAAAGACATGAAGGTCATTGAATGTGTAAGCTCAATGCAGCACATACCACTGGTAAATGTTGGCAGAAATTCTGCTGAGTTAAAGATATCTTAATGAAGCTGCTTCTACCAGTATCCTGGATGACCTTTATAATTACCTTGCCTGGATAATGAATGATGCAAATATTGTGCAAGTGGCTTTGCCAGAAAGCCACCACCACAAAATTTTAAATGTGGTACAGTATCTCATGAATCAAACTACAAATCTGCTTAAGCCAAAGCAAGTGGGGCTAGTACTACACATACTAAAATTAACAGGCAGCAAGCACTTGGTGACTATTCTAAACAAATTCAGACATACAGCAGTTAGTTATGATGATGTCCAGAGGTACATCTCCACAGAGGCTCAATGTGTTGATAATAATCAAACAAGAGCTGGTGGACCTTTTTTCCTATTTGGAATTTGGGGTATATCAGTGATTCCTGTATTTCATGTACAGATGTCATTGTACAAACTGTTTATTCAGTGCTACAATTGTTTTGATATGTTTTACAAAAGTGCAGTTTTTGTTGTCTCGATTAAGATTAAAGCTGCTATTTGAGATGCTTTGCAAGAGTTTCAGTGTGTCCAACATTGCTTTCCTAGACCCTAAGATAATTCTCTCAATAACTGTCAATACCAATATTTTATATAATGCTGGGCAATTTTCCTCAAAATTCCGATCCATGGCCTCACTACTAAAATAATGAGAGAACATCCATTATTGCATTACAGTACATAAAAATGGATAAAAAGAAGTTTTTACTAGCTATCAACTTTAAATTCATCGAAGGAGAATGTTAAAAACACCTTTGCAGGTGTTAAAAGGAGAGGAATTCAAGAAGAAAATTGAGTGGTAGCAAGGGAGGAGTGGCTAGTAGAGGAGAGGAACTCAAAGAGGATAGAGTATGGTGGAGAGTGCACATATAGTACATATACAGTACTTGTATATGTACAAGCATGCATGCTTGTGTGTATGTGGGTACAGTATATGAATGCATGTGTCTGGGTATGTATGTGCTTTCACATGAATATGCATGTGTGCTTCTTCTGGCATATGCATGTATATTTATATGTGCATATGCATACAGGACGCTTGTAAGCATGTCCAAGTTCATTTATACATTTTATCAGAAAGATACATCTGTGACGTGTAAAGGCCAACCATTACAAATTAAACATATTGTATAAAAAATTCTTAGTCATTGAAATGATTTCCACAGCTTCTGACTCCAGCACAATAATACCTCAAGAGCAATGAACATTTTACTTAATCTGGAATTAAGCAAACCTTGAAGTAAGCTTAATCTGGAACTAAGCAATCCTTGAAGTAAGCTTAATCTGGAACTAAGCTTAATCTGGAACTAAGCAATCCTTGACTTAAGCTATCAAATCATCTAATTCCTATGTAGATGAATTACTTACCTCTCATACTCCCCACAACTATTAGAAAATACACCAGATAATACAACTCTGACAATCGTACAAGTCAAGGTATGAATATGTTTTGGGTATTGATAAATATTGCCAATTTTTCTTTCTAAGCTATGATACAGGGGGTCCCCGACTTACAAACATCCGACTTATGAATGGGGTTAAACTTGAAATTTATAGTATTTTATTTACCTTATGACTTATTTTTTTACATTCATTTACTGTATTTTGTCATTCTATTTCTTCTTTTGTCTTAAATTAAGTGATTATAGATGTATATAAGGACTTACACTATGATACAGTAGGATTTTAAACATTGTTCTGTAAGTGCGGTATGCACATAGCATGTGTTCCAACTTACAGTACGTACAAATCCGACTTAAGAACATCCTCAGGAATGGAACCCGTTCGTAACCCGGGGTCCCCCTGTACTGACTATTCTAACTCTTTCTACCAGGTAAAACTTACACTAAAGAAAGGCCTGGTACAACAGGCTTGGTGTAATTTAGCATGGCACAAGCATATAAATATTTCTGATACAGCACAATGGATAACTTTTGGTGGAGAGTAACTTACACTCATATTCTCATTCAATTGCATAAAAGTAATTGCAACCTATAATGGCAATATACCCAGTCATAATGTTTTACCATGCTGTAAGACAAGATTATAAAATATAAAACTTTTCGAAATGGGGTTCCTGATATCTGTGGAGCAAAATACATCGATTGAATTACATGTGTTGTAAGCAATGGACTCATGCATGCATCACTTCTCTCCCTATGGTAATAATTCCTTTCATTTTATGTTACAAGAGAGTTTCAAGTTCTGGTACAAAAATTTTTCAACAGCTTCATAAACTGTTAACTACAAAACTGGTAAAAGGGTTCCTATCCATAAAGGCAATAAAGGTTATTCATATACAGCTGTACTACAGTCAACCCTCACTTTACGCGGTTAATTCAACCCACAGGGTACCGCGGAAAGTGAGAAATGTGTAAAGTGAACAACATAACATATGGGATTAATTGAAATAGAGACCGGGCCGATCCCCAAACTCCACTTTTTGACGACACACAACTATGTTGCAGTAAAAATATTATCTTAACTTTATGATGGTATGCACACACAATTAATAATTAAGAGAAATATCAATAATATTAGGTTTTTTAACACTTACATTAGTAGAAAAGATGGCTGGGCACACGAGGATGGGCGGTGGTTCCGATGGAGAGGGCAGATTATTGGCTCTCACCTGTATCACTTGTATCACTATCCACCACAGAGGCTTGCAGGGCCTCTTTGTCAAACCCCTCAAAGTCCATACAAGTCCATATCCTCACTATAATTATCACTATCACTGACTTTGGCCGGCTGTGGTGGGTGGCGGGTGAAGAACTCGGTAATGTTTTGATGATTGGGAGACCTTGTGCGCAACATGCTCGCGCCGCTTACACAACATGGCGGATGGCGGGAGAGGGCGGGAGAGATGGCAGGAGGTTTGGATCCAAAAATGGCGCGGCTCGCCAGCCTCTCTCCGCGTAAAGGGGTACACGCACCGCGGAATGTGAGCATTCCTGTTTCGGCAGGGTACCGCGTAAACCTGGAAACGCGGAATGTGGGACAGCGTAAAGCGAGGGTTAACTGTATATTGATTTTGGTTGACTATATGTAAACTTCAAAAGAAACCATGTTATTTTCCCAAATAAATGATAAATGAATATCTTAGACCCAGCAAACTAATTGAGAGCTATATTCACTATTGTATTTGTTATTTCAATAATAATAAATGGTGTGTAAATCTCAACTCTTTATACTGTACATGTGACACACCATTTTTGACAATCATTGTTAACTATGACATGTTTCTAAATCCAAGTACTTCTCTGCATAGCTACAATTAAACTATCATGCTGTACTTAAAGTTAATTCCTTAAAATGAATCTTATCAATCTATAAAAGTCAATTTTCAGATCCTGCCAATCTTTGAGACCCTGTCAACTCATCTAAATGAGAATTTTATTTCCCAAATAAACTAAATAATACACTTAGAAAGTCATTTAACTGCTAAATATTTTTTTAAAAAGTGGGAAAGAAAAACTAAAAAGCCTAAGAAAATGTAAATCCTTAACCTTATTTCTCTGTAATGAGGTGGTGATATTTTGAAATACTCCCAAAACAAGACAATACGAAACCGATTAAAAAAAAACCCACAATGCATTTAATATATACAGGAACTACAGTGGAACTGAAGTACAGTACGTATTTAGCTGCTACAATATTCAAGAATTTTCCATTATAATAGGCATTCAAGTCTTATTCAATACAAATTAGTAAATGATTGACTGGATTTAGAGTATTAATGTTATAATTAAACTTAATATAACAAAATCAGCTTCAAAATCTTAACATAAATAAATGATACAAAATCATCACATTTCTTTGTCCAGTACAATTAAGTAACCTCTAAAGACAGTGTACCAATATCACCTGTTAGCCAGGAACAAATGAAAGGAAATCCTGAGCAAACCCTTCCCACCAGCTGCAGACGGCTAGCTAGATCCATAGGTATTAAGCAGAGCTGCATCCACTGGTTCTAAGCATGATGGGCAGGTAAATGAGCGCATTAACCAGTCATCAATGCACTCTGTATGGTAAGTATGCATACATGGCAGATACCGTACTCGGTCTCCCACTGTGAAGTCTATCATACAGATCACACATCTGAAATATAAAAAAAATCTTAAATTACTGGTAATCAAACTTACACAGTGAGGTAAGTGACAATACAGAAAAAAATTAATACAGTATGTCAAGAATTTTGAGCATCATATTTAATATTAACAAAAGGATGTTATTAGGTAAATTTTAGAAGCATAACAAGGGCACTGAAAGAAAGAACACAAAGAAATGGAATGAATGAGTGTCAGAACTAAGAGATATGAGGAACAGATTTGGATGTTTTGTTCTGTTCCTGAACACCAATACCACTTTTTTAAAGTAAGAAAAAGAGAGATGCATTTGACAACAGTGACCTGTAATACAGTATGATTCAGTTAAAACTGCTGACCGATGGTCCAGCACTTTATCTTCCAAATTTTAAGAAAACAAAAAGGTATACAGTACAGCATATTAGATAAGAATAAATAAGAAATTACACATGAAATCCAATTTTCTAAAGAACATAAATAAGGTAACTCATGTACTTGTGTCTACAAGCTTGCACGTGAAACTTCAGTGTTCCTGGAACCCCCACTTGTGCTTCTGGGCTATACTCCATAAATCCAATAAAACTAGAAATGTTGAGATAGTATCACATCCAGTTCAAGTACAGCTATAAATACAAGGTAACACTGATGAATCAGCTGCTAAATTGCATATACCCAGTGAAATCTCCATTAGTTGGAACAATTGGTGCAGAGCACTTCCGGGAAGGATAGATTTCAGGGTAACAAGAAGACTCTCAAAGCCAGAAATAATCCCTCATGCCCAGAATTATCTGGAATTTTTGGGGTAACAGGAAATATTCTTTTAAGAAGTTCCAAAAATTGCCCATTGCATCTTCTCTCGAACCTGTATAAAATCCCCCATCCCCGGAATTTTTTCGGACCCCAGAATATTCTGGGAATTTTCCAGAATGATGCATTATTTCATGTATCAAAGCTAGAAAAGAAAAACCCCCCCATCCCCGGAATTTTAAAAAAATTTCCAGATACAGGTTGTACCTCTCTAGTCCGGCATTCTGTGGTCCGGAAACTCCCGTGGTCCGGAACGATTTTAGTTTGTCCATTAGGTAGATAGGCAGCTTTTTTTTTTTTTTTTTTTTTTTTTTTTTTTTTTTTTTTTTTTTTTTTTTTTACTTATCTGAATTATTATTATTATTACAGGAGTATTAAATTTTTGCCCCTCAGGCCCCAATGTGGGTCAGTGACCTATGCCCGGGTGGGCTAATCCCCTTAAAAAAAAAGCCGCGGGAAATTAAGGTTTGTTTACATCCGGCAGTTCGGCTGCTCTCTCTCTCTCTCTGCTTGTCTATACAGAGTACAACATTTAACCCTTCAATATATATGAGCAGTAAATAAGTGTTGCTTTCATATTCTTATGTAGAGTAATGACGATATATTTTCACATGTGCGCACTTACATACGAGCAGTCTCACTTTTTTTTTACCATTAATGGTTTGCTACTTATATTGTTCCATTTATTAACATTAAATAACATTACAGGTACTTCAAGCAACCATATTCATTTTTTTACATTAATTTTACTACAGCTAAACTCAGGGTCTTATTTTCTTCAGTTTTATATGTAGAACCAATCAGTCACTGGTTTCGTAAGCTTTAACATAAACAATGCCGGCAGCCATCTCGTCTCCTCTAATATTCCACGTATTATTAATAAATTGTATTGTTAATTTTGCATACACGTACAGTAATTCAATAAAAACAAATTCAGAAACATTAATTAAAATATATATATGAACAGTAAATAAGTGTTGCTTTCATATTCTTATGTAAAGTAATGATGATACGTTTTCACGTGTGAGCACTTACATATGCGATCTCTCTTTTTTCTTTACCATTATCGTTAGCTACTTCTATTGTTCCATTTATTAACATTAAATAACATTACTTAAAACAACCATATTAATTTTACTACAGCTACAACCAAGGTCTTATTTTCTTCAGTTTTATATGTAGAACCAGTCAGTCACTGGTTTTGTAATCAACGAATACAATGCTGTGTCATTTCCTCGTGTGTTTTAATATTCTACGTATTATTAATGAATTGTATTGCTCATTTTGCACACATAAACATTAATTCAATAAAAAAGACATTCAGTAATAAACAATAATGAATCTTTTGTACATAAGAGAAATGACGCTGTTTACACAATTATGCACATCGTCTGCACGTTGGCGGGCCGTTCAAACCCGTCGAAATTCAAGTTTCCGCCATCAAAATTTTTATATATTTATTTTTTTGTGTGTTCCAATAAAATACTGTACGTTAAGAATTAAAAACTCGCGAAATTTGAGAAGCTACTATACGACATTTAACCCTTCAATATGTCTTCAAAGAGACCATGATGCAGAGAAAGTGGTGCTAGTGCTTCCAGGCTTAAGCACAAGTCACTATCTATCCAGGAAAAGGGTGAATTTCCATGGTCCGGCAATTTCCATGGTCCGGCACCGGTCAGGTCCCGAGGTTGCCGGACTAGAGAGGTACAACCTGTACCAGAAAAATTTTCCCAGAATTTCCGGAAAATGCCCGTGATTTTCATCTCTCAAACTCAAAATAAAAATTCACTATCCCTGGAATTTTCTAGGTACACTATGGTCTGGATTTACGCGGTTTTTGTTAACGCGTTTGGTCATTTACGCGGTGCCTTGCCAGAATTGAAATGCTTTAATTACGCGGTAAATTTGGTCATTTACGCGGCAAGCGACTGGAGAGGTCCAGACCACCGCGCCATTTTTTACTCACACGGTCCATTCTTGACCACACGCGGGAAGAGGCTTGGTGAGTGGTGCGCATTAGGTCGCTCTTACATTATTGCTGACGTCATATGACGTATCGGACTGTGATTGGGCCATGCATCCTTACCACCCATGCATTCCCTCCGCCGCTAGCTGTGATTGTTCTACTGTAACATGACGTGCTGACCTAGCCGGGACTGTCTCATTGTTCTCAGCCCGCGTATACAGTTCTCTCTTGTGCCCACTATTCCCCTCACAACTCACAATGGCTTCCGCAGGACCCCCACCACCAGAGAAAAACATTGAATTACCTGGACCAAGCCATGATAATGTGAAGGAAATCATCGAGTTGGGGGAGAAAATTAAGCTCATCCTTGACAAAGACACAGTCAAGCATCGGTATGAAGTGTCTAATAACCATCTGACGAAAGTTATGGAGCCGTATATCCAGATCTATCTTGACAACATCAATGCTAGTCGTCAATGTAGTATTGAGGACTTCCTCGCCCGCAACCCACCACAACCACAGCCAGCCCATGTCACTGACAGTGATAGTGAGGATATGGACTTTGAGGGGTTTGTCTGGGAGGCCCTGCAAACCTCTGTGAGTAGTGAAAGTGAATCACCGGAGGGCAACTAATCTGCCCTCTGCCTTGGAACCAGCCGCCATCCACGTGTGCCGACCCAGCTTTTCTACTAACGTAAGTGTTAAAAAACCTAATATTATTGACATTTCTCTTAATCAATAATTGTGTGTGCATACCATCATAAAATTAAGATGTTAATTTTACTACAACGTATGTATTGTGTCGGAAAAAGTGGAGTTTGGGGGTCGGCCCAGTCTCTATTTCAATTAATCCCATATGTTGTTATTTCATTAACGTTTTTCTGGTTTTACGCGGACCTCCATGGGTTCAATTGACTGCGTAAATCCAGACTATACTGTACAGTCATTTCTGCTACAACGCGATAGTTACATTCTTGTAAAACCTCGTGCTATAGAAGTTTGCACAATAAAAATACAGGGCTTATGAAGAAATTAGAGTTTGGTGCAGATTATTTTGGCTGTGATCTCACAGATTTGCTAGCACTCAAGCTTGTTCCAGCAATAGTGTTATAGCCTTTCTTTTACGTTTACCACCGGCAATTCGATCACCAGAATGCTTCTTGGAAACATTCTTCTTACCTTGTCTTTACATATTCATTGCTAACACAAAAAAATTGGAGAAAACGGCAAAAATCACGGACACTTCACAGAGCAATCGACAGAACCATACGACTTAACTGATCACGTGATGTAAACAGAGAGCACTGGTGTAAACCGTTATTAGTCCTTACTGCGAAACATTATTTTTACTTAATCTTTTCATACAGTATTTATGGGTAACAGCTAAATTTGAAAAAAAAAAAAAAAGTAAATAAAAATAAAAATTTACAGAGTACCTCTCAAAAAACACTTCACAAACAAAAGACACGAATCAATTGAACATGTGATGTCGAAGGTGAACTGTAAACATTGCATAACCCCGCGCCACGCCACACTTAAAACGGTGAGGATGGAATCATGTTATAGTCAACATTCGTATGCAAAAGTTCGCGCTTAACAAACAGCATTCCCCTATTCATCAATAGTGTTATCACCAATTCGCGTTGACAAAACAGGCGTTGTAGCAGAAATGACTGTACCTGTACTGGGCAAATTATCTCAGACATTTCCAGAAAATGTGACCCTTGGAAAATCGTTTACAAAAATTTTATGGAAAATTACGGCTTTGGGAAAATTTTTTTGAGGGGTATATCTTGTGGAAAATTCCGAGAAAATTTCCCGGCACCTGGAAAATTCTGGAGAGGGGTAATTTTTTCCGGCTTTGAGAGATGAAATAAAGTATCATTCTGGAGAATTAGGGGAATGGGGGATTTTCTTCCAGGTTCAAGATATGATGTAATGCACAATTTCTGGAACTTCTTAGAAAATTTTCCTGGTACCCGGAAAATTCAAGGGATGAGGGGAGTTTTACCGGCTTTTGAGAAAGTCGTCTCGTTACCTGGAATTCTCTCATTCCCAGAAGTGCTCTGCACCAAATGTTCTGGCTAACAGAGATATTACAATACATAATTACTCAAGTGGGATGTAAAACAAGCCCCAGACTCAATCAATCTTCTGTTCCTAGCTCTTCAGCATCCCTAGGAATGAATTTAATTTGACTAATCCATGCCCATTATAAAATAAGATTTCAAGAACAATTCCTCATATTATAACTGACAGTGGATCAAATAACTCATGTACAGTATGCCAAGGCAATTAGTACTGATAGAAAAAAATAAGCAAGAACTAAAAGCAAAGTGACACACAATCTTTATTCTGGGAATCAGGTTCAAGAACACCACACTTGACTTAGCAGAATATAAAGTACAATGCTGACAATTCTTGCAAGATAGCTATTAATTTGAATATAAACATCCCATAGTTTGCACTAGACATTAAATTTTTAGTAATTAACTTAGTACATTTGAGTACAGGTTCTGATAATTTATGTGGTTGCTCAGCAATTGTGGTTGCAGGTGCAAAGCTTTGTGACATCAGTAGTGTAATACATCTCCATATGCTCTGGTGTTTGATTAGTTGTCTAAGTGCAAAAGTAGCCAAGTCGAGCTATCATGTAACAATGGTTTAGTAGTGCCGTTAATGTGTGTGCTGTGTAAGTGTCTTAGCATGTCACCTCGCCACCTGACTCTGTCATCTCACCCTTTGCCTCACTGCTCAGATTGGAATTACTTTGATTTATTACTGTATTATTTTACGTTTTTAGTACAGTTAACCCTCACTTTACGCGGTTAATGTAACCCGGAGGGTCCCGCGTAAAGTGAGAAACGCGTAAAGTGAATAACATAACATATGGGATTAATTGAAATGGAGTCCGGGCCGATCCCCAAACTCCACTTTTTGACGACACACAACTATGTTGTAGTAAAAATATTATCTTAACTTTATGATGGTATGCACACACAATTAATAATTAAGAGAAATATCAATAATATTAGGTTTTTTAACACTTACATTAGTAGAAAAAATGGCTGGGCACACGGGGATGGGCGGTTGGTTCCGAGGCAGAGGGCAGATTATTGGCCCTCACCTGTGTCACTTGTATCAATTGTATCACTATCCACCACAGAGGCTTGCAGGGCCTCTTTGTCAAACTCCCCAAAGTCCATATAAGTCCATATCCTCACCATAATTATCACTATCACTGACTTGGGCCGGCTGTGGTGGGTGGCGGGTGAAGAACTCCGTAATGTTTTGATGACTGGGGGACCTTGTGCGCACCCTGCTCGCGCCGCTTACACAACATGGCGGATGGCAGGAGGTTTGGATCCAAAAATGGCGCGGCTCGCCAGCCGCTCTCCGCGTAAAGGGGTACACGCACCGCGGAATGTGAGCATCCTGGGTTCCGGCAGGGCACCGCGTAAACGTGGAAACGCGGAATGTGGGACCGCGTAAAGTGAGGGTTGACTGTATTGTACAGTATATACATTTTCAGAAATTTTTATATTAGCACAGTATTTACAAATAGACCGCAAGCAGAAAAATCCAGCATTACCCAAGCGGTTGGTCTTCCCACCCACGCACCGACCAAGTGAGGATGCAACTAAACATGATGCAATCTTTCACAACGTTGGGAACCCTTGTCCCCAGATCCTGAGCAAAAAGGTTTGGAATGATTTTCTCGCCATTTTCTCAGATTTTCTGGAAATTGCACATTATTTCATAATCGATATTTGCTCCCAGACCCAGAAATAGAAATTTGGACAGATTTTCCAGAACAATTGTTATGAGCTGTTTAATTCACCACATCATTTTCAGGAAGTACCTATGTCAGCACAACATTCGAGTGGGCCAGTTAGACACAAAAAAATCTTGCCTGAGCTAAGCAACATCCTCTCATATCCCAACCTTCATGACATCAGTGTTTCTAAATACTGACTACAGGTGGATAACAGCTCTCCTCTCGAGTTGACTCTTCCTGGGTGAGACAAGCTCAAGAGCAAATAACATTTCCTGGGTAAGACAGAAAAAAGGAGGTAACATTTCCTGGGTGAGACAGATGGCTTACAACCACTGAACTGGGAAATGTACCACATTAACTTAGGGTAACCTCCAAATGTTACTCAAACTATTCCCTGGAGAGGATTCACATATCTCCCCTCAGATCTTATAAAGTGTACATAGTGTGTAACTTAAACCACAGAAAAAACTTAAGTGTTTAACCCAAGAACCTGTCACTTAATAGTTCCAGAAATAATTTGTTATAAAAAGACCTATAACACTCCAATATACCAAAATCTAGTAATTAGTTATGGTTATAAAATTCCTACAACATAAGCAATATAAATACACTACCAGCAAATGAGTTTACTCACTCTCCACTCTTCTTGGTGCCGTCAAAAATTCCACAAGGGAGGTGTGTTATTAATCCCATACGTTTGGCAATCTTTACTTGCTCTTCTTCAGTCAGCTGGGATGCTGGCCGACTTACAGATGGAGATGGGAAAAACATTGGAGGTGCCTCCTGTAGAAAAAACATTAGATATAATGTGCATAATCACAATATATTCTACATATTTTTATTAGTTTGGTCACCACTTGTACAAATATTCATTACAAAGTACAGTGAAGTATAGCAACACTACCTTGTCTCCAAAAGACACTCATGCAAAGACAAACAACTACAAAGTAATACAAACAACCAAAAAGATCAAAAGACAAAGTTCAATATTAGTAACTTACAGCTCAATGACTATCTTATTAAATTCTTAAATACAAATTTGACTGTTGGACAGTCACACAGGATATTACCCAAGAATAATCCAACAAGAGTCCACAGCTCTAAAAGAAAGGAAAGTGAGTAACTCCACTTTTTCTTCTATGTAACCTATATATCTTTATGCTTCACAATACCCTGAGAAGCACATGGGAAATATATTCTAATATGTTAACTTATTGCAACCAGACAACAGAGAAAGAAATACAGTAGTACAGGTACTGTACTTCTGCTTGTGAGCAAATACCAGGCTGTTTTTGCATTTCTAACTTGAAAGTTAATGACATCATGTTTATTAAATTAAGCCACATGACTCCATGAGATACATACAAGTACTGTATTTACAACAGATTTAATTATATTTTCAACTACTGTATTTCTACTCATTAATTGTCCCCCTATACTTAACTAATTTAAATGAATTATTATATACTGTAAACATATTTTTTTTTTTACCCTGCCTCCAGAAATACTGTTGAATTTTAAAGAACCCAATAAAAAGTAACTACAGGTTGACAATCCCTTAACCGAAATCCTTGGGGACAGAGGCATTTCGGAATTTTTTGGTTTTCAGAATGGTTAGGTTTATTTTTTTTTTAGCTCACCCGGGCACAAGTCACTGACCCACATTGGGGCCTGGGGGGCGAAAATATATTAAAAAATATTATAATAATAATAATAATAATAATTCATAGGTTCAGGTCGTGTTTCTCACTTTAGATCTTTTTTTCATTCTTGTATTTCTTTATTATTATTATTATTTTATTATTACAGTATTATTGTTATTATTGTTATCATTATTATTTTATTTTGGTGTAATTTTTATTATAATTTTTATTCACTATGAATAATTATTATTATAATAATTATTATAATTATTATTATTATAATTATTATTACTATTACATTTTCGCCCCCCAGGCCCCGATGTGGGTCAGTGATCTATGCCCGGGTGGGCTAATCCATGTAAAAAAAAAAAAAAAAAGGTTTTGCCCCACAAAAAACTTTTGGTTTTCAGAGCTTTTCGGTTTTCGGAATTTCGGAAAAGGGTTGTCAACCTGTACAATATTGTTACTGCTGTACATTACTGGACAAGTTTCAACACTAAAAAGTATTTGATCTTCATTCTGAAAGTGAAAAAACTAAATGTTCTCAAAGGTTTTATCATTCCAATGTATTTAATTTCAGTTTTGTTACCATTTTTATAACTGAACTGAAATAAATACTCAATATCCATTCAAAACCTAGCAACTCTCTATACTAAATAGAGATTTCCCCTTTCACAAACATTTGAAGTAACTAAACATTCTTGATAGATGATACCCCTTTTCTATAACTTCCTAAGACAACTTTCTTAGTCAACATAAAGTAAAGTCCCTAAATTAATAGCTTGGATGACATTCCTTCTTCCTGATATACTCCTTTTAAGGCAATGAAGCTCAATCATGGTGCAAAATAATGCTAAATTCTAAATATGAAAAAAATTGGATTTAGGGTTATAGTACTGATATACAACTGAACAATACTCTTAACATCAATAAGATTAACATATGCTAAAGCCAGTGACAATAACATTGACAATGACTCTGGTACTAGTGGGTTTGGTTTACATTCTTTTCCACTTAATGCAAATCAATTAAAATGGAAAAAAATTAATTACACTAGACTTGCCCGGCAATTCTACATTCACACATACATGCATGAACACACAAACACATGCATGTGTGCATATACTGTATTTATGTGTACCCTTGTGTTTTGTCATGCCAAAGAAACCATCTAATGAGTATTGTACAGAAAACCCTCATTATTACAATTTTACATGATGCAATTACCATAAAACAAAACTATTGAATATATAGTTGTATATTTTCTTTTACACACTCTCTCCACATCACTGCGAATACCATGCCAAACACTCCTGCTAACACTTGTCAGCCAAGAGTACTAACAACAATACCATGCCAAACACTCATGCTAAAATTTGTCAGCCAAGAGTACTAACAACAATACCATGCCAAACACTCCTGCTAACATTTGTCAGCCAAGAGTACTAACAACAATACCATGCCAAACACTCCTGCTAACACTTGTCAGCCAAGAGTACTAACAACAATACCATGCCAAACACTCCTGCTAACATTTGTCAGCCAAGAGTACTAACAACAATACCATGCCAAACACTCATGCTAACATTTGTCAGCCAAGAGTACTAACAACAATACCATGCCAAACACTCATGTTAACACTTGTCAGCCAAGAGTACTAACAACAATACCATGCCAAACACTCATGTTAACACTTGTCAGCCAAGAGTACTAACAACAATACCATGCCAAACACTCCTGCTAACATTTGTCAGCCAAGAGTACTAACAACAATACCATGCCAAACACATGTTAACACTTGTCAGCCAAGAGTACCATGCCAAACACACTCATCAGCCAAGAGCTAATGCATTTGTCAGCCAAGAGTACTAACAACAATACCATGCCAAACACTCATGTTAACACTTGTCAGCCAAGAGTACTCAACAACAATACCATGCCAAACACTCATGTTAAACACTTGTCAGCCAAGAGTACTAACAACAATACCATGCCAAACACTCCTGCTAACATTTGTCAGCCAAGAGTACTAACAACAATACCATGCCAAACACTCATGTTAACACTTGTCAGCCAAGAGTACTAACAACAATACCATGCCAAACACCTGCTAACATTTGTCAGCCAAGAGTACTAACAACAATACCATGCCAAACACTCATGTTAACACTTGTCAGCCAAGAGTACTAACAACAATACCATGCCAAACACTCCTGCTAACACTTGTCAGCCAAGAGTACTAACAACAATACCATGCCAAACACTCCTGCTAACATTTGTCAGCCAAGAGTACTAACAACAATACCATGCCAAACACTCATGCTAACACTTGTCAGCCAAGAGTACTAACAACAATACCATGCCAAACACTCATGTTAACACTTGTCAGCCAAGAGTACTAACAACAATACCATGCCAAACACTCATGTTAACACTTGTCAGCCAAGAGTACTAACAACAATACCATGCCAAACACTCCTGCTAACATTTGTCAGCCAAGAGTACTAACAACAATACCATGCCAAACACTCATGTTAACACTTGTCAGCCAAGAGTACTAACAACAATACCATGCCAAACACTCCTGCTAACACTTGTCAGCCAAGAGTACTAACAACAATACCATGCCAATCACTCATGTTAACACTTGTCAGCCAAGAGTACTAACAACAATACCATGCCAAACACTCCTGCTAACACTTGTCAGCCAAGAGTACTAACAACAAAATTTCAGCTGATTTATCAATTAGCTACACCACATAGCAATAAACACGGAAATATCTTCTTTTGCAAAGTCTTCCTGTACAATACATAAATATTACTTTTAATAACAATAAATACAGTAACATCTATTTACTGTGTTAAACATAGTAGGTTAAGAGTATAAAAACACTTACCAGAATGTGGTTACTTCTCAGAAACTGATGCTAAACTCACCTCACAATAATATGATTCATGCTTTCTTATTACTAATTCCACACCAAAAAGTCAATAAGTTTTTATAAATATCATTTACAGAGAATTCTAGTGGTAGATGGCAGCTATGCAACAGAAATCCTTGAGCAATTATACATGTATCCTAAATAAATAACACTACTCAAACAAAATCTATGACAATTGATACAAAAATAAATAAGAGATGAGCTGTTATACCCTGACATTCCCTGTGACCCAAAATTGAATTAAACAGTCAGATAAAAAACACCAGGAGAGAAAATTACCTGAAAACTAACTACTGTATGGTACTGTACAAGCATCCCTCAATGTCCGATTGGGTTAGATTCCTTGAAAGCCTTTCGGTTATTGAAAACCTGTATTTAGATAACGATAAATATAATACATACAGTGGGGTATGCTATAACGAACATTGTTCGTTATAGCATTCGTTCGTTATAGGATTAATCCATTCCAGGCCCCCAAATACAACCACTTAACACTGAAAAATATAATATAAAATTGTAAAAATTTTAAAAAGGTGCATAATATATGCATCTAAACCCCTGAAATAAAGAATATCATTAATACTTGTAATACAAAAACAATAAATTAGTAAGAAAAAAAAAAAAAAAAATTAAATAATGTTCGTTGTAGGAGTTTCGTTCGTTATAGCATTCTCAATTTTATAGGTAAAACCGTTTGTTATAGGAATATTCGTAGTAGGATCCGTTCGTTATAGCATACCCCACTACCTATACATGGAAACAATAGGGTTCATTTCCCAGGTAGTAAGTAGTAGGCAGCTACTACCCTGCTGTCATATGGCATCACGAAAATTGTGACCAAGTCCCAGGTTGCTGATCTGACTTTTTGCCTCATTTACACGCAATTGCAGGGTCTCAATTGTTTCTCTTATTATTGACAACACAACATATATACTGTATATTGTTTCTCACTAAATATTTTTTCAATTTGTATTTCTTTATGGTTCTTTATTATTATTATTATTATTATTATTATTATTATTATTATTATTATTATTATTATTATTATTATTATTATTATTATATTTTCGCCCCCTAGGCCCCGATGTGGGTCAGTGACCTGTGCCTGGGTGGGCAAATCCCCGTAAAAAAAAAACAAAAAAAAACAGGGAGGTACTACCGCCTTGGAAGATATTGGAAGCATACTGCATTGTCTAAT